GGACACAACATCTTTGTTTGTATGTGGTGCTGAGGATGGAACCTGGGCCGCACGCATGCCAAGCTAGCACGCTACCGCTTGAGCCACCTCAAGGCTCGGCCCCGCCCCTAGCCACCATCAAGGAAAAGCAGGCAGGGACAAGAACGGCTGACCTGTGGTCCGGTCTGCACTGCTCAAAGAGGCCACCCTGCCCTGGAAATTGGCTGGGGTGTGTGGGGGTGGGATAGGGTGGGGGGTGGACACTGCGCCTTTCTTCTAAAAGTTACTATAGTTGTTACAGGTGAAGCAGAAATAGCCCCAGATCGGCCTTCTGGCTGCCTGCTGCTCTAAGCGCTCTTGCCAAAGCCTTTTCAACCTGGGTGCTGTGGCCTGCCCAAGTATCTGCTCCTCTCAGAAAGACAAAATGTTCACAAAGGGCCTTGGAAGATCTATTTGAGGAGAAGCCTGAACAGAGGGGAACCCATCCGTGTGGCCACCCCTGCCAAGCCACTGGTCTTGTTCCCCAACCCAAGCCTGGATGCTCATCCCACAAAAAAACAAATGTCCAAGAGATGTGTTTTGTGGGGGAAAGAAAGGCTTTATTCAGTGGCCAAGAATGGGAAAGAGAGAGCTTTGCTTCTTAGCTTCTCAGCTCTAGGGGTTACAGATGCAGGACAAGATTCAAGAGTAAAATAAAGGACATGATCGTGTCCTTTCTGGGAACAGGTGCAGATCTTCCAGGAACAGGGGTAACATTTCTTTTTCCTCTTTTCTGGTGTTTCTGGTTGTGATGGCTGGTAGGCGTGTTTAGCTTTGAAGGGGGCGGAGAGAGGTCAGGCAAGTCTAGGTCCAGTTGGCACTGTATTATAGTCCTGAACAAAACATCTCTCAACCATCAACGTGTCTGTATGCAGTGCTGAGCAAAATCTGACCCGAAGACTAAGGCAGCAAAGGGGACAGACACAGTATGAGGGCAGATGTGCCTGTTCATCCTGTTCCCATCACTCCTAAGACACCTGCAAGCACAAGGGCCAGTGTTTTCTGCAAAAGTGGCCTTTGGGTCTCTGAAGGAAAGCCTAAGCAACTGCTCTTATGAGCTATGTGTCACAGGTGTCAACTGCAGCAGTGCTGATGGGTGACTGATGAGGTATCGCCCAGCCTCAGGATCTCCAAAGGCAGATTTTTAGGTCAATCAGGAGTAAGTGAGGCAGAGAGGTTTAGGTTTTTCCTCAATGGCAGCCACGGTCCATGTCTCTGCAGCTCTCAATGTGCTGGAAGAGGTCCTTCTTGGCTTAGACCTCTAAGGAAAGAACCAAAAGAGAGTAATAGAGAGAAGAGGTGGCTCAACAGTGACACAGGTTTATTCAGGACAAATCTGTGGCAGAGGTTGGAGGTGGGGGTGGGGATTCACCAGCAGAGGCTGGAACCCATGTTCTGCTTATAGCCTAGGGAAGTTATAGGGCAGCAAGGGAGTGGAGGAATTTCTGTAGTTAGGCCGTTGCTAGGGGTTGTCAGGGAAAGGTCCTATGGTGTCACATTCATTCTTTGAGGTGGCCCCTGCTCCTTGTTGAACCAGGTGTTTCTCAGGATTCCAGTCCCAGATAAGGATTCCCTTCCCTGTGTGATGATGGTGTATTGCCTGGGTTTAGGTCAGGCTGAATCAGAGTGTCCTGGGGTGGCTTGTTCTAAGGTGGAGGATTTGATCCAAAATGGAACTGTGTCAAGTACTTCCTAACAAGTCAGACTGCAGTCTTAAGTCCAACCCATTCCATTGCCTGCCCTGGGGACATATCATGGGAAGCCTTGGTCTTCTCCTTGCCCTCTCCAGTGCTCATAGAATGATTGGATCTGATCCCAAACATGCTTGAGATGTTACTTTGCTCCTCTCCTGTCTTAAAGGTCCTGGTGTCACCTCCAGATTGTTTAGCCACAGGCAGTTGCAGAGCATGGAAGGGTGCTTTCCTGTCAGTGGAGGGTAGGCAGAGGGACTCTACTGTGTGTCCACACATGCATGCACATGTCTATGTGTGTGTGTCTCTCTCTCTCTCTCTCTCTCTGTGTGTGTGTGTGTGTGTGTGTTGGAGATGTGAGCAGGTGCTGGAGGTGCGAGCTGCTAAGAGCCAGGCTGCTGAGAACAAGGGTCTTGTAGGAGGCAGGGCTGTCCAGGTCTGAGGCTCACTGCTCCATGGCTGCTCTGGCCTGGGTCCCTGGACCTTCTGCCTCCTATATCAAGATATTTCAATGCAGGGCGTGTGTGCCAAGCGGGATGAATAGAAGACCCACATCTCCTCCTAAACTGCTTAAACAAATACTGTAGAACAAGACAGGCCTGTAGCTCTTGGTTTCCGTGATATCTATTTCCCAACTGTCTTCAGATCTTTGGGTAAAAATTGTCTGGAGTCAAGTTTGGCAGGTGGGGCCAGCTCTTTTCTGGGCCTGAAAACTCTTGCATGAAGATCCTGCTCCTTTAACCTCTTGGAATAACAAATGTCCGAGTGTCAATCTTTGCCTGGGTTAGAACAGTGCAGGCTGAAAAAGTCCTGCATCAGCCCAGAATGCATTGCCTACCACAGGCTCAGATCCACCAACTGGAGGGTGGCAGCTGGTGGTGACCTCTTACAGCATCACAAGGGCCCATGACCACAACACTGAAATCATCCAGGGCCCCAGTGGCTTCACCTTCTTGCTCTTTTTGGCTTCGTTGCTCCTTAGTGTGGTCGGTTGGACTTGACTACTTCCCTCCACCTCTCTCCTTTCCAGCACCAGCACCAGAGCAATAAATCTTCTTGGAGGAAAGAACCTGATGTGATGAACTCTGTCCTCCAGTGGTTGGGAGATTCAGCAGGGCCTTCACTGCACTTACTTGCTGGTTACTGATGTAAGCAAAAACATTTGGCTAAGAGTTTGAAAATTCAAAAGGCCACTGATGAGTGTCAAAGCCTAATGAAAAAAGCAGTCCCATTGGGCACAGGGGCAGTCACCTATAATTCCAGTGATTTGGGAGGCTGAGGCAGGAGGCTGGCAAGTTCAGCAACTTAGTGAGGCCCTGTCTTAAAATAAAAAATAAAGAGGCCTGGCTCAGTGTTTAAGCATCCCTGGGCTCAATCTCTGGAACCAAAAACAAAAGAAAACAAAAGCAGCCCCTAAGCTGCATAGGAGGGGCCATTGAGAAGAAGAATGTAACTGAAGGACTTCGAGGATTCAGTGTTAGGAAAGGGGGGAGTGGGGGTGGTGGGGAAGGGGCTCAGAAATCACCAGGCATAAACCTGGTATGACCTTAAGAGGTCATACTTTATGGTCCATGCACCATGTACTTTAACTGGCTTACGTAGGTAGTTCTTTCTTATTAGTCTTTTTTTTTTTCTTTTGGTACTGAGGATGAACACAGGGCCTCTACTACTGAACTGCATCTCCAGGCCTTTTTAATTACCTTTTACTTTAAGTCAAGGCTTGCTAAGTTGTTGAAGCTGGCCTTGAACTTGTGATCCTTCTGCCACAGCCTCTGAAGGCTCTGGGATTGTGGGCGTGCAACACTGTGCTTGGCTTTTTTAATTTATTTTTTCCTTTATTAAATCAACTTCATTGATCTATAGTTTATAGTTAATGAACTGCCTGTTTTAACTGCAGGTTCAGTGCATTTTGAGAAACACACCCCACACACGATAACCAGCCAGTCAAGATACAGGACAGTCGCATGGCTCCAGGATGACTTCTGAGGCCCTGGCAGGCTCCAGCCTGCAGCCTGCCCCAGCAAGCCAGTCTCCTGTGGCTATGGATGACTTCACCTGCTTTACAACTGTCCCTACCAGAACCACAGGACACTGTTTCCTGTGTGGTTTATTTTAGCAAAATGTATCTGAGACTCCTGTGCCACTGTAGTGCCAGGATCAGGTGGGTGCTCAGCCATGAATGGCATGCAGGGAGAAGACAGGGAGGTTGACTGAAAGCCACAGAGAGACCTCTCTGACAGATGAGCCCTGAGAGGTGGGGTCTGAGTATGTTAGAACATCCCGCAGCCTTAGTTAAGAAAAGCTGCCTCAGGACCACGTCTTCATTGGCTCCTGTAACCAAGTCTCCAGGACCCCCCCACCCATATACCCAGACTATGCCACAACCCCCAATCATCCTGATAGCCAAGACCCTCACAAAACATGATGGGGGCGATTCAAAGGGTAATGAATCAATTAAGGGGAAGGGGAATTGAGACAAAAACAGGGGGACTCAGTTTCCTTAAAACCTCTTACCCCGAGCACCACACCTTCCTCTTGGAGGCAGTCATACAGCCCCCAAGCTGTCAATAAAAAGTCAAGAGGAGGTGGACTTGGGCAGGACTCTGGAAGCTTCCTGGTGAATAAGAGTAGATTGTGGTCAGGCAATGGGTTCCTCCTTCAGAGGCAGAGACTACACAGCAGACTAACTGCTAGAAATATTAATAGGCACCATCAAGACCTATTTCTTTCTCCTTTTTTTTGGTATAGGGGATTGAACCCAGTGGTGCTTAACCACTAAGCCACATCCCCACATCCCAGCCTATCTTTTAATTTTTAAAATTTTGTGAAAGGGTCCTGCTAAGTTGCTCAGGGCCTGAGTTTCTGAGGCTGACTTTGAACTTGTGATCATGCTATCTCTGCCTCCTACATTGCTGGGATTATAGGTGTGTACCACCATGCCTGGCTTGTCCCTGAATTGTATTTTTCTAATTTGCAAGATAAGAACTCAGAAGAAAATTGGCCAGTCATGGGACTAGTCTCATCACAAAACACCAGTTTCACTGGGACCACCAATAAAACTAAGGGGCCAGATAGGCGCATAATCCCTCTCCTCTCTGAAAGGACCCAGAGTCTCCCTATGAGAAATAGAAAGGCTGATGGTCTATTTCCAAATGTAGCCTTAATTGGATCCCATGGGCCCAGTTCTCCTGGTAAACATCCAACAGTAATTAATTTGGAGACAGTGTTGTCTCCTTTGTTTAACTTTACTTTCATCTCACTTTCACTTATACTATAGTTCTTTTGCATGACTTTGGTGTCTGACTTTAAACTTTCTTTTGTCAGAACACAGAACTGAGGTTTTGAGTTTCAGCTCCCTGCTTTCCTGTGATTGATATTTCTAACATCCCTTGAGACTGTCCCCCTTTCCCTGTTCCTGTCCCTTCTAATAAATGCATGCCTGTAACTCTGAGCACTGTGTCTGAAGTATTTCTGACTTGATCCCAAGAACCCTTCACACTGCCTCAGTTTCCAGGGAGGCCCCAGCCCTCTTTGTTTCCTTTCATCCCTAACATGAAGTGCTGGTCCCCTGCTGATGGACACAGGGGTTATTTCCAGTTTTTTGTTGGTTTGTTTGAGGTACTGGGGATGGAACAAGGATCTCACATGTTAGGCAAGCACTCCACCACTGAGCATCCCAGTCCTTTTTGAGACAAGCATTCACTAAGCTGCCCAGGCTGTCCTTGAGCTTGTGATCCTCCCACCTCAGCTTCCCAGAGTGGTTGGGATTACAGGTGTGGTCCCTGTGCCCAGGACTAGTTATATTCTTTTAGTGTTGGTTGCCAGCCTTAACTGAATTGCATGGCTAGCTAGTGGGTCACTGTTCTCCCTCACAGGGGTCTTATGGTTTTTCATTCATTTCTTAAATATGGACTGCAGAGACATCAAAGAAAATCAAAAAGCTCCAATCAGCTTTTCAAGAATTCTGGAAATTTTGTTTTTAAACTTTTTTTTTATTGGCGTACATTAATTATACAGGATGGTGAGTTTCAATAGTGGTGTATTTGTACATATAGGGAAACATAATTTGGCCAACCTCAACTCCATATCTTCCCACTCCTTCCCATGCTCCCTCCTCCTGATTCCTCCTCTACCCTAAAGGTTTTCCTTCTATTCTCCCTCTTAAAATCCTTTGTTTGCTCACATCTAGAGTCCTTAAGGGCCACATAAGGGAACACTGAAATTTCAGAATAATTCTGGAAATTAACCAGAGGTGACAGCAATGGAAGAATTTATTTAAGAAAATTCTGAGGCAATATAGAGACCAACTATCAAAAGAGAAGTCAGGTGCAGTGGTGTATACCTGTAATCTCAGCAGCTGGGGAGGCTGAGGCAGGAGGATGGAAAGTTCAAAGCCAGCCTCAGTGACTTCTGTAGCATTTTAACTTGGCTCACCCTCTAGTTCTGTGGCAGCCTTGAAAAACAACAGGAGAGGGACACTCTCTGCAGAGTCCCTGGAAAGCTTCCCTCCTTTGCAATGCCAGCTTTCTTTGACCTATGTGTCATTCCTGGAGAAAAAGGACAGTTAAGCACCATGTCCCTTAAGTCCTCCTCTCTGTTCAAAGGAACCTAGTCATGTCAAGGCACTGGGCCAGAATGTCCAGAGTACATATTATCCCATGGACACTGGTGTTCTCTCACACTTGCTGGGAATCAGGACAAGTCAGTTATCTGTAGAAAGCTACTTTCTCGCATGCTCACCAAGTTCCATGGGTTCTGATCACACAGTGGGAAGAAGCCAGCTAAGCTGATCTGCTGGTAATGCACACAACCCCTCCCTGGGGAAACTGGTGCCCACCAGAGCACCCTGGAGAGGGAAAGGTGCTATGGGGATGGAACACTATTCCCTGGAGAAGCACCATGGGACCTTCTGTTGCACTTCTCAGGAAACCTGTCTCACAGCCCAGTTTTGGGTGTCTGCACTAAGCTTTTGGTCACCTGTCACACTGCCCTGGCCCAGCTGAGCTGTGGAGAGCAAAATCTGATTTGGGATTTGGTTTACTCAATATTCGAAAGCATTTCCCCTTCTGGGTCATTTGCTAAAAACATTGAAAGGCACTGATTTACCCTCATGGCTGCCTGAGGGTAGAAAGAGGGTGAAGGCTACGGTGCAGCTCAGCCATAGCACCTGGGCTGTGCATTTGCTAGAACTGTGGTTACCTGGGGGAGCCTGGAATCTGAGGTATAGTAGCGACAAGTCTCTATTTTGGGTTATGAAAAAAAATCAGAACTAAACAGAGGGGTCTGCTGGGCAACATTATGAGCTGAAGGTCCCCAGAGTGTTACTTAAAAGGGTTAATTTTAAGCCATACACGATGGTATGCCCTGGTAATCCCAGCTACTAAGGAGGTTAGATAAGCTCAGTGGTAGAGCACTCGCCTGGCACACACAAGGCCTTGGTTCAATCCCCAGTACCACAGAAAAGGGGGAGGGCAATATTATAAAATTTCACTTCAATCAAAATTCCCTAGGGGTGACTGGTCCAAACTTAGCCAGACTCTATCTCAAATTTTCAAAAAATCAACACAAAGGGCTAGGGTGTGGCTCAGCACCCCTGGGTTCAATCCCTGGTACCACCAATCCCCACCCCCCAAAAAACAAAACAAAATGATGAATTTTAGGGCAAACAATTCAGTCCATAATCCACGTACCTATTCAACAGAGAGCTCGATGAGGACATTATAATACAGATACAGATATTAAAAACCATTTATTCTGACACTACTCATTATCACAGTAATTCACAGCAAATGATACATGAAAATGCAGGTCACAGAGCACCATGAATGGAGCACGTAGAGCCAGGAGTGTGTCCACACTCTGACAGATATGTGTATTCCAGGGAGCAGGAAGTTCTGGGGTGGTCACCAGAGTGGAGGGGGACTGGGGGAGTGGTTTCCTGCATTTTTTTTTTTTTACAATAGGCGTTTATGGTTTTTACAAAAAACGCCAAAGCTATTACTTCAATTAAAAAAACAAACAGAATTCTTTTGAAACAGACTTGAAGTTATTTGGCTCACCTTGGTGTCCTCCCCAGCCACACATGGATGCTGCATCAAGATCTGACACCTCTGAGACTCCTCCCTGCTGGAGCTCAGTGTAGATCTGGGCAGGTGCTGGGTACAGCACACCTCGCCCAACTAGCTGCGAAACCCTGTTCCTTTCTCTGTCACTTGGTTTGTCAATCTGATAGGCTCTTTCCAAGCCCCTCTCCCCAAATGTCCGTGCCCAGGGGACAAGCAGAAGGTTTTTCCAGTTGTCCCAAAGAACACTAGAGTCCTACCTGGGCCTCGCATGGGCTCCCTTTTCTTCTGGGGTCACCTTGCAGCCCTTTCTCTGCTCCATTGGGCCAGTATGTCTATCAGGTGGCATCTGGTATCAAATCACAGTGACAGGGACCTTCTGGGAGAATCTTCAACACCAGACACCCACTGAGGGTGCCCTTTGCAGGGATCTCTTTTGTTCTGGGACGGGGTCTTTACAGCTGTTGTAGGGCTGGGTACCTGGGTCTTGCTGCAGTTATTTCTCTGCCAAAGATACAAGTTTTTCAAGCTCTAAAAAAGCAGAAGTAAGGGTGGTTCAGTTTGTGCAATGGAATCAAAGGCTATTGCCTACTCCCCAACTCTGTGTCAGAGGCTGACCCCAAAGGGCTACAAAGTGTGATAGGAAAGAGGATCAGCAGGATAGCTAAGTCAAATGCTGTACACATCTGCCTCCTCCAGGATGGAGAAGTACTAGAACCCCTTTAGGTCAGCAGTTAGTAGAACACAGAGCACTGGCACCTGGGGACAGATGTTCTCCAGTCCAGGAAACAGGCCCTCCTGCTCGACACACAGGGTGGGCAGCCTGGCTGCACAAGCCTGTATCTGGAGAGGGTCATTTCACCTCCACACATGTAGGACAAGGGAGGGCAGCCTGTCCGGGGGGTGAGGGGGTGGGGGTGTGTGGCTGCTGCCAGGGGAGGGATCCCTACATGAACAGTCTCCAAAGACCACCAGGAGGAGTGCTCTGCAAACACAACCCATAGTGTCTAGTGCCATGAAGGGGTTGGCCACCTGGGTCCGCATCCCTGACTCTGGAGGGCTTTGCCTGAGTCTCTGAGCAGGTCATCCTCCTGTGTGATCCATCTCCCTGCTGGGTGCTGCTGGCTTCTTGAATCTGTGCCAGGTTCCCTTACCCCTGGGCCTCTGTATTTGAGCTGCTTCCAGTAACAAGCCAGAGGAATCTCAAAGAAGACACAGGAGCCCAGGAAGTCAGACGCAAAAACAATGTTTCTTTTTCTTTTATGCAATCTGGAACCTCGGGCATTGAGCTTGCTAGTCAAGTGCTCTACTCCTGAGCCATGTCCCTAGTCCTTTTTCAGTTTTCTTTAAGACAGGATCTCTCTAAGTTGCTGAGGCTAGCCTTGACCTTGCAATCCTCCTGTCTCAGCCTCCTGAGTTGCTGGGATTATAGGTGTGTGCCACCATGCTGGCTAGAACCGTGATTCTTTCTAAGGGCGAGGGCCTGAGGAGGCTTTCCAGAATGTTTGAAATGTTAGCTTGACTGGTGGATGCACAGGGGGGACATTTAAGCTATTTATTTGTATTTAATTGTTACCTCAAACACACACAAATATTTAAAACATCTGCAGAGAAAGAGAGCCCAGAGTTCCACCCAAATCCCTCTGGCCTTCCCCTTTCCCAGAGTTTCTTGCTCTCCAGATCCTGTCCTGCTCTGTCTTGATCCCTAAGGATACGAACATGCTGAACTGTCCAGCTCACTGGAGAATGTCCCCTGCACCCACCTGCCTTCTCCAGGATGGAGAAGTACTGGAACCCCTTTAGGTCAGCAGCCAGTAGAGCATGGAGCACCGGCACCTGTGGATGGATGTGCTCCAGTCCAGGGCACAGGTCCTCCTGCCCGCCATGCACAGTAGGCGGCCTACCTGGACAAGCCTGAATGTCTGGAGAGGACCATTTCACCTCCACACAGGCAAGTGGAAGGACGGTACCCTGCCCAGGGGGGCTGCTGCCAGGGGAGGGATCTCTACATGAAGAGTCTCCAAAGACCACCAGGAGGAGTGCTCCACCCAGAACATGACAGCCACAAGCACAGCTCTGGAGCCAGATGTCCCCAGCACTGAGTACAGCCTGGCTGCAGATCAGTACTGACAGCACTGGGAGTGGCCCCTAGAGGACAGGTAGAAGATGAAGGTCCGGCAGTTGGGAGCCCAGGTCAGAGGCAGGGGGTCAGGCCATGCCTACCTATTGGCCCAGGAAGACCAGGGCAGCACCCTTCCTGTGGAAGTCCTCCAGGAGGTCGCCGAGCCCCAGCACCATGGTATAGTCGATGCTGAAGATGTGTGCACCCCAGGACAGCTCAGAGCCATAGGGATCCTGGGGGGCAGACCACTCTGTCACACCCAGTGAGGATATCAGGGTGGCAGGACTCACTTGTCCCTGACAGGCAGGGAGAGCCATGCTTGGGACACTGTGGTCCATGTTGAAGAACAGTCAGGGTGGTATGGGGCTCATTACCCACTGGGGACCTTCTGTGTGTCAGCCTCATTAATGTGCAAGCAGGTGAGCATCCCCCTGATGGCTGGGGCTTGGCCTCCGGTCCTGAAAGCCAGAGTGGGGGAATAGAGAGCTGTGGAACAGAGGGAAGTGGGAGCTCACAGTGACCTCAGCCTAGCCACATACCTTCCCAGGCCTGTTCAACATTGCCTCCCCAGGGCTTCGATGGCAGGGAAGTGCAGGCCACTGGCCAGATGTAGGACAAGAATGGGGCCCTTTGACACCTGGGAAGGTAGAGGGAAGGGACTGAGTCCTGGAGGCAGGTTGGACCCAGCCTCTGCCAGGCCTGGCCTGTCCCAAGCTGGAAGCCCAAGTCAAGTCCAGTGCGCTGAAGGAACAGCAGGGGTGCTGGCAGGAGGCCAGGCACTGTGGAGACTGCTGTGGTGTAGAACAAGAGGATGTCACCTATAGCGGTAACCACAGGTGCCCCATGAACTCAGACATCAGGACAGCCTGGCCAAGGAGTCCCACCATTGAGTGCCCACCCTTGACCCGCACCTGGCTCTTGTGCCTGACTACAGAGTGTGGGAGGATGAGTGAGGACACCAGAGTTCCAGCCAGGACGCTGTACTGGACCTCCCAGAAGCACAGCAGGAACATGATGCAGAATGGTATCAGGTCCAGCCCTGGGAGAGAAGTCTGCTGAGAGTTGCCTCTGCTCCCAGGCTCTGAGCTACCACCTGAGCCCGATGCACCCTACATTTAGCAGGACAGCCTTCTGATCCTCACATGTGGAACAATGGTGGTCATGGACACAAAGCAGCCAGAGGCCTCCATTCTGGAGCCTCAGGAGCAGCAGCCACAGGCCACTGCTGGTACACAGGTGTTAGACAGAGGAAGACCTCTTTGTGCCTGAGGTTCAGGCAGGACCCTCCTGGGCCTTCCCTCAAGTGACCTTGGAGGGAGGGAAGCAGCAGGGCTGTCAAGGGGACATTCAAGGGACCCAGGAGATGGGTATGTGGGGACCACAAACCCCCAGACTTGCAGGTCTCCTTCTCCGAGGAAGTGTCCTGAGGGCAAACTGCAGTCCCAGAGTCTCCCCAACATATGTGACTCAGAAATGTTTCACGAGCCTCAGTTTCGCTCAGGAAAGCCTTATATTGCACACAGAATGTCCACATGTTCCAAGGCTACTCTAAAGATAAAATGTGCAGGGAAGCCCTGGGACACAATAAAATAGCCACCGCTTTCATTTGGTGACTCCCTGGGGCCACAGGAAGAAAGCCTCATAATCTGCATAAGTTCTTACACTTCTTCAGGAAGCAAAACTGAAAGGATTTATGGGGATGAGTGGTTAAGGGTGCCCTCAGGCTTTGCAAACACAGTGCTACAGTGTTCTCAGCTTTTGGACCAGCACATATTTTTCCTTTTCAGCACTGGGAATTGCAACCCAGGGTCTCACACAGCCTAGGCAAGGGCTCTCCCACTGAGCCGCACCCCAGCCCTTTCTACTTTGAGAGAGGATCCTGCTAAATTTGCCCAGCTGCTCTCCTACTTGCCAGAGCCTTTCAAGTGGCTGGGATGACAGATGTGGCCATCGTCATCTGGCCCATATATATATTCTTAACATGCCAGAGTGTCCCGAAGATCTTGGTATCAAACAGGGGGGCCACAGCCATGGTGATGACAGCAGCCAGCAGAGCCTTGGGGATGTGGTAGAAAAGCAAGGTCATGTAGTCCAGTGACAAAAGCACCGGCACACCTGGGGTGGGGAGTGGGCATCACTCAGGTGCTAGGGTCCTGGCTGGAAGGCCACACAGCCTCCCCCAAGAGGGTGGGGAACAAGCTCTGACACCCTGCACCCGCACGACCACAGAGACAGAGAGAGCCATGCACAGCAGCAGACTCTGTGGTCTGCTAAGCAGGACACCCCTTCAACTGTGGGCTGCCTCCCTCCTCCCCATGCCTTCAGGGACACAGGGAAATATGGGGGGTGTGCACTCCAGTCACCAGCCCCCCTGCTGGGGTGCACCCCAACTGGACGTTCATGGCTGTCTTGCAAGTGAACTGATAGACATGTTGATCCCTGGAAGTCCTGAAGGGGAAGGGGAGGCCTCCATCTGCAGGCAGAGACTGATCTTCCTAGGGTGCCTAGGCTGGGGAAGGAAGTGAGGGAGAGCTGTGCTCAAACCACCCGGCTTCCATTACCAAGAACACACCAGAAAGCCTGAGTGCTCTTGAGGCCCCCTGTTTTGTCTTCTACCCCACTGAGGTGCTGGCTAGGTACCATTTGCCACTACTCAAGGACAGCCTGAGGGGTCTAGGCTTGGTCCCAAGGCCAACTCATCAGGGAAGAGCCTCAGTCCTCCTGCCTCCACTTTGGGGAATTAACTTAGGCATCACCGTGCTTGGAGAACCTGCATGTGCTGGGAACTTTCCAGCACTAAGTACAGCGCAGGAAGCTCAGATGCCATCCTAAGGGGCAGGCATGAGCCCCACCTCCACCACACTGCAGACTTAGTCACAACTGACCAGGGGTAGTCAAGAGACCAGGTAGACTACGACAGGGAGAATGAGAAAGGAGTCCAGTGTGGGCAAAGCACCCAGGTGGGGAAAGGGGTTCTTCAGCTGGTCCCTCCCGAAGGAACAGAGAAGGAAGGACGTCGTCACTTACTGTCCAAAGCTGCTGATGACTGAATAGAAGGAGACGAGGGAGTCCAAAACATTGGTGAGGCCTGGGGAAAAAGAAGGTTTGCAGAAGGCGGAGATAGAAGACAAAAGCAAGGCCAGAGATATACAAGGAGTGACCTGGGCGTGAATCCGACCTCCTGCCTTGGGAAGGAAAATGCAAGCCATAGTCTTCCTCTAGTTTGCCCAGGGTGATTCCAGCTTTTTGCAGGGGAAGGAACTAGGGATGGAATCCAGGGCTTCGTGCATGCCAGGTGAGCACCTTACCACTGAGCCAGCCCCTGCCCCAGTTATAGCTTACAAAGTAATTCTCCCCTCAGCTTGCCATGGGGCTCAATCAACTCCAGTAGGGGTGTGCCCAAAGGATGCAGTGCCTGTAGGATACAGCTGCTACCATCCACAGGGCTCCACTAAGGTCCTCTCAACCCCTCCCCTGCTCTGCTGCTATGGCCCACCAAAGTGAGGGACAATGGTGGGCCATAGCAATCTCCCCCAGGTGGCACTGACTGACCACGGGGAACACAGTCCAGGCCCACAGCCTCACTGGAGCCAAGAACCAAGCAATCATCAGACCACACTAACCCCAAGCTGCTCCACCAGCATTACCCTTCCCAGGGCCTTCACAACCACCACAGTCTCCCCTGGGTGTAGGTTCAAGGCCTACTCTCAGATCAGGTCTGGCCACTTAGCAAAGGCCCTCCAGGTTATAAGGCCCAGTGCACATCCTTGAGAGTGAGAGGCCTGGATGTATGAGGCCTTGGCAGAAGCCATGCCCTGACCACCTTCACTCCTGGTTTCTGGTCTAGAATAGAACTCTGCTGTCACCAACGGGACAGTCCCTCCCAGCTCTGGCTTTCTGTGGAACCTGTGGCAGCCATCTCTGTGTACCACCTGGGAACTGTTGGCTTATTTCAGATTAGGAAGCACACATCCCCACTCAACAATCTGAGCTTTGTGATCTCCCCTTGTCAGTGCTGTCTGGGTTGCTGCCAGAAACTCTTGTCCCATTGGGAAACTTCTGGGCTACCAGTTCTTTGCTGCTGCTGCTGCTGCTGCTGCTGGGGATTGAATGTGCTGTTTATGAGTGATGGGTGTGAGCAGAGTAGAAACCACTTGGGAGGTCTGCTGGCTGGTGCCTGGGTGGGGGGGCTGTGGGTTTCCTCTGCGTCAGTCCAATACCTTCATTGGACTGAAAATCCAAACTTCCAGAGTGAAACCTGAGATTTAAAGTGGTGCTCATGAGTCTGTTCATGAAGTCATTAGATGTCCATTTCATAATTCTTTAGAGCTGGTAAGTATCTTTTTCAAAACTCCACCAAAACATTCTCAGTAGTGACCAAATTTCAGGAGGAATACCCAAACAAATATCCACGATGGGTCTTCCTCATTCAGAAGAAAAAAAAACAGCAAGAAGCAGCAAGTACCATGTACTGAAGAAGACTCAGAGCCCCAGTTTGAATGATCACAGTGCTTTTGCTGAAACCCAAGTTGCTTTAGTAAGTACAGCAGGGAGATATCAGCACAGTGTTTCAAAATTGAATTCACATTTGACTCCTGAGCTGTTGGGAATAAAGACATGCCTACAGTTACTCCCACCTCTGCCAGAGCCTTCCTACAGCCTCTAGAGCACAACACAGTGATAAAATTCTCTTTTTTTCCTGTTCCCCTTTTATGCTTTCTATGAGACAGCACTCACTGTTAGTTTTTATTTTATGTACATTTTACAATAAAACCCCAATTATTATATGCTTTCAAAGAGCTCAAGAAAAAATATTTAATATTAATTTGATAGTATTTAAGATGGTTGCATTCAGTGAGTTTCAGAAGTTAATTCCTTTCTTTTATAAAAATAGTAATTGTCATTTTCTCTGAACTCCCTTTTCTGCCCCACCCCTAGACTTTTTAATGATGCTTTTTTTTCCTATTCCATACAAGCACTAGCTGCCTACACTTCAGATGGTATTTTATAAAGTAAAATCAGAATCAAGAAATTTTAAAGCAAAACCTTTCCCATAGGGTAGAAAGCTTACCAACTTTCAGAGTCACAAGTAATGTCAATATGAGTGTGTAATTAATTGGACCCGAGGACCACTCATTCTCCATGGGGTCAGAATGAGCTTCCACAAACAAAAGCAGTTTCTAAGAAAGCAAGCCCAACATGTAAGCTCTTTTCTAGCCTCTCCTACATTAACTCAATAAAGGCCCATTTCCCAAAGCAAATCATATGGCCAAGCCTGAAGTCACTGCAACAAGGAACCACACAGGGTGTGGGCATTTACTGGGAGATGTGATTCACTGGGGGGTCATCAGTGTAGCTGTCTACTACAATTCCCTCATATGGGCCAGATGTGCCTAAGATGGTCAGGGCCATAGTGGAAGATGGAATAAACAATGCACAAATCAGGTCAGGGGGATCCTCTTTTGAGTTCTTCATCATGTAAGGATCTTAGAAATCAACACTCTGTCCTCATAACAAATTTAAAAAAAAGGTAAACAAATTGAAAAATCAACAAGTCTTAGATTCAAATTAACTGGATCCCAGGACCAATCCCTATTCCCCCAAATTAAAGAATCAAAAAGGCACATTCAGAGATTCCTAACTTCTTGGAGTAGAAACCCATGAGCAGAAGCTTCTTTGGGAAGCAGTACTGGCCTAGAAAACCCTGAACTAGAAGTGAAAAATAGCTGGAAACTCAGTGTGGAAAGGCTGACACAGTCACCCAGGGCTCCTCATACTTACGTGAGTTTTACCTCCAGGATCTCAACCAAGATCTCACAGGGCAACCAAAGCATTCTGTTCTTCTTGAGAAGTTTCAACCTTAGGAGAAACTATTTTACAAAAGAATAGACTACTGAAATTTCGCCAGACCCTAAATGACCCAAGATAAGGGAACTACCATACTCAAGCCTGCTCTAGCCCTCCACCTGGAAGAAAAGACACCAGCTCCCACTGCTCTTCCATATGAGAGAGAAAAACATCCAACTACAGCTGCCTCCAGACATCTTGTCCCATCAGAGTGGGGAAAATGAGGAAACCGATGCAGCTCCTTTCAAGAGGCCACACTCACTAAAAGATTGAGATCTAATCCTATGGCTAGTAACACCTTCCCTCACCAAGCAGGGGAAATACAAAGCAAAACTAAACAAATAAAAAACATACACATCTTATACTCAAATAGCAGAAAATCAAAGGGTGGGGAAGTCTTTTTATAAAGTCCTCTAGATAAGAATGGTGATTATCATGGTTTGGATCTAGGAATATCCTCTCCAAACCACGTGTTAGGTAATGCAGAATATTCAGAGGTGAAAAGATTGAATTATGAGATCTGTAAAACCTTATAGGTAGACTGTTCCTTTAGATGAATTAATAATTTGAATGAACCACTGAGTGCTAATTGTAGACAGGTGGGTGTGGCGGGAGAAAGTAGGTCACTGGAGATGTGTCTTTTGAGGGCATAATGTAACATTAAGAAACATTATTCAGGCTCCAGTGTGTGTTCTCATTCTCTCTCTCTCTCTCTCCCTCCCTCCCTCCCTCCCTCCCTCCCTCCCTCCCTCCTTCCCTCTCTCCCTCCAAGAAACATTATGACAGGCTCCAGTGTGTGTTCTCATTCATTCATTCTTATTCTCATTCATATTCTCTCTCTCTCTCTCTCTCCCCCCTCCCTCCCTTTTATTTATTTATTTATTTGGACCAGAGATTGAACCCGGGGTGCATAACCACTGAACTACATCCTAATCCTCCTTTTATGTTTATTTTGACACAGGGTCTCACTAAATTGCTTAGGGCCCTGCTATGTTGCTGAGGCTGGCTTTGAACTTGCAATCCTTCTGCCCTCCTGACTCAGCCTCTGGAGCCTCTGGGATTACAGGTATGTACCACCACACCTGGTTCTCTATACTTCTTGCCTGCCATGAGCTGAACAGCTTTCCTCTGCCATGCTCTTGCACCATGATGTTCTACCTCACCCTGGGCCCAGTGAAGGAGATGGCAGAACCCAAAATAAACTTTTCTTCCTCTAAGTTTTTCTTGTCAGGTTCAGAGAAAAACTGATTAATATAGGGGCTATATTTAATATTGTGTATTTCAAAATTGCTAAAAAGTAGAGTTTAAATTTTCTTAGAAAAAGGTAATAAGTATGTGAAGCAATGGGTAGGAAATATTAATTGCCCTGACATACTATATCATAACATTACATTTGGCCCATTGTGCCCTATAAGTATGTGTGATTACTTGTCAATTAAAATCAGTATAATCAATGAGCCTCTAGACAATATATTCAAGGAAAAAAAAGATATAAATGAGGAAGATCAAAAACTAAAAGGGTGGCATCAATACAGATTCCACAGACATTAAAAAAGTAGTAAAAGAATACCATAAACAACTCAATGTTCTTAAATTCAAGATACTACATGAAATGTACTGATTTCTTGCAGGACAAATATGCTAGATTTAACACAAAAAAAAATGATCAATCTGAATAGAACTGTAGCTTATCAAAGACACAGAACCAATAAGACCATCCCACCAGTTCAAGATAGGTTCCTGGTGAATCCTAATGAATATTTAAGAAATAAATTATATCAATTCTCTAAAATCTCTCCCAGAAGATAAAAGCAAAGGAGCTACTTTCTAACTCATTGTATCAGACTAGCACTAATGTAATAACAAAATCAGACAAAGATTACAAGAAATCTACAGACTAAAATCTGTCATGAAAGAAGATAAGAAAACATGCATGAAGTATTAGCAAATATTATCTGGAAACAGACTCACATCAGTATAGCCAACCTGTGTACAGTAAAGGGGCAAAGGCAACACAACAGCATAGAGCAGAGATCTTTCCATCTGCATGACCTGGACATTTCCATCAGCACGGCTACCGCCACATGTAAAAGGAGAGACTTAGAGAGAAAAGAAGAAGGAGGGGGAAGAAAAACTCCTTGTGAGTTAAGGACTGGAAACTTACCAAATATGTGATAAAACACAGACCTCTGGGTTCAATGTTTCCTCTTTGTAAAATCAAAAAAACATCCATCACTACACACATTACAGATGCATATTTGGTATGCATATCACACATAAATACTTGATTTTGCATCTGTTTGTGTGTATCTGTCTGTGTCTCTACAGAAATTCTCAAAAATATCTTCTGCCATTAAACATTGATTTTGGAATCAAATATACTAGAAACATCCAAAAATTCTTTGGATTTTTTCATTTTCTATACCTCTTCTTCTGAATTTTTAATAATGGTATATTTAATTTAGTTATTTGTTGTTGTTGTTCCAAGACTCTCTAGCTGAAGGTAATAAAATTAACTAGAAGAAAATCATGAAGATATTTTTACTCAAAATTCACAAAACTAAATAAGTATAGAAGAGATCTCAGTTCTGTGTCTGAGTTGATTCAAGGCAAGGAACTATTGTGTAGGAAGCTGGCTGCAGAGAGGGGGAACCTGAGAGTAACGTTCCCTGTGAAATAACAATTACAGAAATGATCTCATTTTCCAAAAGCGTGATATCTATGGAGCTAAACAGATCTACAAAGAAGCAGGTCATGTCTGCGTACTAGGCAGAAACAAGGTCACCTGTGGCAGGGTGAGCAGGTGGAGTTGGAAGGAAGGATCTAGAAGTCTGAGTGTGGAGGACATGCTGGGCTGGAGGGTGGGCAGGGGTGTAGTGCTGCCTCCACTTCCTGTCCCTCCCTGCTGTCAGGATCCCTTTGTGATGAGAGGGCACAGCCCTGTGACACAGGCCTGAGTAAGACTCCCCATTGCTGAAGCATACTCTCAGGACTCATTTGTCCAAACAGAACAGTGCGATTTAGATGATGGAATATCCTCTCTTTCCTCTGAATAGCGTTAGTGCCACATGGCTGAACTCCAGCTTCACCACCTGGGCAATGGATATGATCCTTTGCCCAGTGTGTGGACTGGGGCTCTTTCTCCTCTTATTGCCCTGCAGGGTAATCCATTCTTCCCACCACCAAGGAAAAAGGGAAAACTCAGGAAGGTAAGAAAAACCTCAGAAAAGCCACATTCTCTTTTGTCTACTCTTCTTTTGATTTTTTTCAAAATAAGTAGGAACAGTTAAAAAAAATCTCAGGACAGAACAGAGCATCATTCTGGGACAGGCAGGCCAGGGCAGGGAGAGTGTGCACTAAGGCTTCTCCCATCTGAAGCTCTCAGTCCATCCATGTGGTGAGCTGCAGGTCCCAGAGTGAAGCACACACTATGACTCAGTGGTTGAGGTTTGCACTCCTGAGAGAGCTGGGAACCTCTGGAGAAGTTCAGGCCCTGAGCACTGCTCCATCTGTCATCTTCTCCTGGAGGGTGTCTGTGGAGCAAGCCTTTCCTCCGTGTTGGGTTCATATGAAGGCTGTGCCGAGCCCTGAGGGCCTCCATCATGGCTGGAGACACCTCTGGCCTCAGGGAGCACAATCCTGCCTGGCAGCTGAGAAGAAATGAGTCTGTTCCTGAGCCAAGGATCAGTGACTGAGGACATGCATGGGGTAGTTTATATAGAAAACCCTTTTTGTGTTTTCCAAATAAGAAAAATAAAGAATTTTGCCACTTTTAAAATGTCTCTGAATAAAAGGGTCTCCACTAGCTAACTGTAGAAAGTTAAGCTGCTCAGAAACATGGAGTGTTTGCAGCTGGTCTAGGAGAGCAGAAGGGAAAACTAGGCCCCAGTCTCTTTTTCTTTCTTGTTTGCCAGCACTCAAAGGTGAAGAAGGGACAAAGCAAGAACAGGAAGAAGAGTGGCATTTTGAAAGATAAGGCCTTACCCTTCCACTTGGGAACAGGGGACAGCAAGTCACCTCTGGAGTGGAAGGGTAAGGCCTTACCTTTCAAAATGCCACTCTTCTTCCTGTTCTTGCTTTGTCCCTTTGAGACCTGGGAAGGAAATCATCAAATCAGAGACACTTCTCAGGTTCTGTGCCTAGAATGAAGCTGCAGTGGGCCTGGGGTGGGTGATGTCCAGTAGGGTGGTATGGGTAATATCAGAGCCATGCTGTCTGTGATCCTGCCAGTGAGGAGAATGCATCATGGCCTAGCTATTTTCCTATGGGAGAAAACTGAACACCCAAGAAATGCCAAGGCAGGCATAGAAAGCAAGTTTTATTTAGACTTCTCTGCAGAAAAGGGGTCCCAGACCTGCGTATACAGACAAGTGGGGTTCCTGTTCATTTTATATTTTAGAATTCCTCTGTTCTCATGACTTCCTTCTCCACTTATCTTGCCTCTCCTCTCCAATCCTGCATACATGACCAAGAGGTGGACTCAATGGTGGAGTGATCCAGGCAGGAAGGCAGCAGCCCAGGAGGCATCAATTAACAACTTTTACAACTCCCTGCAGGGAGGAACAATTCCTGGGGCAGGTTACCTTAGCAACAGGTGGAGGAACACTGGAAATGAACATGGGAAGAGGAGGGAGAAAGACCATTTGATTTCCTTTCCTTTCCAACAAGCCCCCATGTTCCAGATGGGACAGATATATTATCTACACTGACTGCCATTTGTCCCCTCAGCTTCATTTGGATATGGTGGTGGGACTTCCTGGACAAAATGTGAACAGGCTCTCATGTCCCCAAGGCTGATTCATCTCTGAGATGGCCTAAACTTTCTCCCCATAGGGAGTACAACGGGGGATAGTGGAAGTTTAAGTTAATGACAAAGTGCTGCCCCTGCATGTGCCTTGCTATCCCTGTCACCTGTCATGTGGCCTTGAACACTGGCGCTGGCCCTCCAGAGTCTACTCTCCCAGTCTGCCTCACATGGACATTCCACTCACCCTTCCTTCTCCACAATAACCCAGCCTCCATTTTCAGGTTTTAGTGATTGCTGGAAGAAAGTGGAAGAGACTGAAGATTTGCTTTCACTTCTACAAAGGTGAGTCGCTTTCCACTAGTCCCTATGTCCTTCCTACTGCTGCCTGTGATAAGATCCAACAACACAAAGCTCTCATGGGGTAGGGGGCAGCTGTTGTGTCTCCTCGTCAGCAAGGAAGACATGACACAGGATTTTTTTTTTAGCAGTTTATTCAGGCCTTGAGTCATGTATCATCTTCTAGCGCCCGCCGCCCGACACCCCCAAGCACAGCATAATAAAGCCCCCCGCAGCCCAATCCCAAGCCGCCACATGGATCTCTCTCATAGGGTGGTAAGGGATTGTGTGCCAATCTCTCCATAAAAGGAGTTGTTTACCACAGGCCACAGTGAAAGCCGACGCCATCTTTTAATGGCGGCCACGATCTATAACAATGGCTTACCACAGGCAGCCTTGGTTGGGGCAGGATCTGACTAAAGCTCTGACATATGGGAGAGCAAGGGCTTTGAAAACTCAGGGTGTGGGGTAGCGAGGGGCCACGACCACAGGTGCCCACCCCTGCCCCAGCTCCTATATCTCCTGGCCTCATCTGCTCCTGGCTATAGCCTGAGCCTCTATCTCTTCCAGCCACCTAGGGGAGCTCCATGATGGCAGCAGCTTTCACCAGCTCTTAAAAGGAGAAGACCCAGATGAGATGTGCAAACAGAGTCAGCTGGAGTCCACCAATCATGTACTGCCTGGGGAGGATGATTTGGCCACTGCCTTCTTCCCTTTGGCTTCCCTGACTTCTTTGAGTAAGCACCCTTTGTTCCTGGCCTCTACTTCCTTCAGCAGACCTAATGACTTCCTCAGTTTCTGTTCAGTCACACTCAACCCTGAGTGCCTCTCAGTCACCAGAGTCTGTGATTCCTCTAGAACAATGTTCACCTCAGCCACGTGGACTTTCCTCTCCCCCATCTTATCCCTCCTGATCCCATGGCCCATCGTGTATTTCTGCCAGACCCCAACCTGACTCCTCAGTGTGACTCAATGATACTCTCACTGGGAACCAAGCCACAGAACTATCTCCACCCAACAACTACTGGTTGCCTTCTCCTGTCCGATCGCCATCTCCTGTGCCATTGCCTTCTCCTGTCCCATTGCCATCTCCTTTCCCAGCAGTCTCAGGCCATATTCTCTCCACCTGCCTCATCTCATCCCTCTCTTAGTGGCAGATGACTGCCAAAGTATGTGGCCTCTCCCGCTCCCCACACAGTGAATCCAAGAGAGATCATGCTTCCCACCCACCAGAGGACTCACTCTGGACAAACCACCCACTCTCGCAAGTAGAGGCTGAAGGGACCTCTTTCATTAACCTTGGTGTCCAGAAACTGATGGAGACACCAATCAGGAAGAGAGCAGGAAGGAAAATTTGTAATGTGAAGACAAAAGATGAACCAGTCTACTCCCTGAATTCTCTGGGAAGCACAGTACAGTCCCTGGCAGGGAGCAGGACACCACCATCACACGACCCTTCTGGAACACAAAAGGCAAGCTGGAGATGCTTACTGTTCCTCAGCAGCTCTTTTACACCAAGGTCCTGGGGGAACCATTTACAGCAGAAATGCAGCCAGCTCTTTTGAGGCCTCCCCATTCTGCATAGCAAGTCCCTGGTGGCTACTGTCAGAATGTCTGGGCCCTCAGCAGACTTTTCCTCCATTGCATTCAATGAAATGCTTGATTACATTACAGGGCAGGTGCAGGCTGCACCTGGGCCACTCTTTTCCTCCCAGTTGCTCCACCCTCTTGTTCAATTTCAGCCTGTGACTCCAACCTTGTCTTGCTCCCAGTCCCCACCACTGGCTCAGATCCACCATCAGGCCTATCTTCCATGATCTCTCCCAAGTTTGCAATGCCACGTTCCACTGAATATCACATGTGGATTTCCATGCTCCACAAGCCAAGAGGAGACCCAGTTGCTTTCCCCTTCTGCTCTTCAACACCTGGAATACCACATTTTAAGAATACAAGTAGAAAGTAGAGAGGCTTTACCTTATTTGGTCCAGAAG